CATCGTCCACTTGCTGCTCCAGCTTGGTCTTGGCTTTGGTCAGTGTAGCTGGAAGGGTCCCTGGAGCAAGAGAAGAAACTGCGCATGGATCTGGAGAGAGCCAAGAGGAAACTGGAAGGAGACCTGAAGCTGGCCCAGGACAGCATCATGGATCTGGAGAATGATAAGCAGCAGCTGGATGAGAAACTGAAGAAGTAAGTGTGGCCCTGGGGCACCTCAGTGCTGGGCTGCAGCTCTTGTCTTTTTCCTTTGAGCTGTAACCCACTTTGCTTTGCCCAAAGGAAAGACTTTGAAATCAGCCAGATCCAGAGCAAAATTGAGGATGAACAAGCCCTGGGCATGCAACTACAGAAGAAGATCAAGGAGCTGCAGGCAAGTGTCTGCCCTTCCCCTGCCTACCCCAGGCTCGGCTCAGGGAGGAGGAGGGCACGGGTGTGAAGGGTCCCTCGTGTTCTCCAGGCCCGTATTGAGGAACTGGAGGAGGAAATCGAGGCCGAGCGAACCTCTCGCGCTAAAGCAGAGAAGCATCGGGCTGACCTGTCCAGGGAGCTGGAGGAGATCAGCGAGCGCCTGGAAGAAGCAGGAGGGGCGACGGCAGCTCAGGTGGAGATGAACAAGAAGCGGGAGGCAGAATTCCAGAAGATGCGCCGGGACCTCGAAGAGGCCACGCTGCAGCACGAAGCCACGGCTGCCGCCCTGCGCAAGAAGCACGCGGACAGCACAGCTGAGCTGGGGGAGCAGATCGACAACCTGCAGCGCGTCAAGCAGAAGCTGGAGAAGGAGAAGAGTGAGCTCAAGATGGAGATTGATGACTTGGCCAGTAACATGGAGTCTGTCTCCAAAGCCAAGGTATGGAATTGCAGTAGAACATGCTCGCAGGGCCAAGGTGTGGCACAAAGGCTGCATCTACCAGTCACATTCCCATAGACAATATCCCTGCTGTGAGAATGAGGCAGAGTGCAGGCGTTCATCTCCTTCCCTTCCTTTTTTTTTGCTCCCTAGGCAAACCTGGAGAAGATGTGTCGCACACTGGAAGATCAGCTGAGTGAGTTAAAAACGAAGGAGGAGCAGAATCAGCGCATGATCAATGACCTCAATACTCAAAGAGCTCGTCTGCAGACAGAGTCAGGTGAGACATCCTCATTCCTGAAGTGCAGTGGGAGGACCTGCACTCCATGAGCACACCTTTGGGTGCAACGTGACAACTGGTATAACTTCTCAGGCCACTCCTGGTTACATGGCTTTACAGGCAAAAAGGGTCATAGGATTAATAGTCTGGTTCCCTTTTTTCCCTTTACCGTTCCCAGGTGAATATTCCCGCCAGGTGGAGGAAAAAGATGCTCTGATTTCTCAGCTGTCTAGGGGCAAGCAAGGATTTACCCAACAGATTGAGGAACTCAAGAGGCATCTAGAGGAAGAAATCAAGGTATGGAAGCACCCTAGTGTCCACAGCCTGGATCACCCCTGGATATAGGATCTGGAGAATCCTATAGTCTGACCCAAGACAGGTTCCATGTTCTTTCCCCAAACACCTGTAGGACTGGAGGGAACACCAATAGTACACAAACTTCTACTCATGAGCTGGAGAGGGAAGGATGTTTGATGCTTTAGATGCTGGAGGAAATCCTCCACAAGGCTTTCTTGCCGTTCTGATGATCACCTCTAAGACAGGATTCAGCCACACATGTCAAAACATTTACCCGAACAGCTGATTACTGTCCCCAGAGCACCTGTCACTAACATGTCCTGATCCTCCAGACACATCAGTAAGGGCTCCATCAGATGCCAGACACATCAGTAAGGGCTCCATCAGATGCCAGCTCTCTATTTGCCCAATTAGAGGTTCATTCTAATTCCACTGCCAATTTCGGTGTCAAGAGGCACCTCAAGAAGGTGTTGGAGTTACCCACCCCCATGTCCCCACAGGCCAAGAACGCCCTGGCCCACGCCCTGCAGTCCGCTCGCCACGACTGTGACTTGCTCCGGGAACAATATGAGGAGGAGCAGGAAGCCAAGGGGGAGCTGCAGCGCGCCCTGTCCAAGGCCAACAGCGAAGTGGCCCAGTGGAGAACCAAATACGAGACGGACGCGATTCAGCGCACGGAGGAGCTCGAGGAGGCCAAGTACGTGGGGAGTGGGATGAGAAATGACTGCAGAAGACTGAGAGCGGTCAAGGGAAATGGGAGTCTCTGAGCGGGCTGAGACAGGGTTAGGATGAAGGCAGGGATATACTGTCTTTGTGTGCAAAGCAGATAGAGGGGAGGAGAAAAAAAGTGTATATTGGAAGGGAAAGCATAGGCTTTAGGGCTAGAAGTGCAAAGACAGGCCTAATGCACACAGAAAGGATAGATCCTTTAGGATCTGTGAAAAGTGCTCAGCTCAAAACCCCCAAAGTGGCCAACTGCCCTCTCATGGCAGTGCAGAACTGACTCCCTTCTAAGCTCTAAGCTGCCACTGTGCTTATCTCCTCCCAGGAAGAAGCTGGCACAGCGCCTGCAGGATGCAGAGGAACACGTTGAAGCTGTCAATGCCAAATGTGCCTCCCTGGAAAAGACAAAGCAGAGGCTGCAGAATGAAGTGGAGGACTTGATGATTGATGTGGAGCGATCCAATGCTGCCTGTGCTGCTCTGGACAAGAAGCAGAAGAACTTTGACAAGGTCTTTTGGGCTCCAGCCCTGGGACTCCTGGGCAGAGCCTCCCCCCAGGATGGCCACATCCCTACTCACGCCCCGTTTCTCTTCAGATCCTGGCAGAATGGAAGCAGAAGTATGAGGAAACGCAGGCTGAGCTGGAGGCCTCCCAGAAGGAGTCTCGCTCCCTCAGCACGGAGCTGTTTAAGATGAAGAATGCCTATGAGGAGTCCTTGGACCACCTGGAAACAATGAAGCGGGAGAACAAGAACTTGCAGCGTAAGTCCCTGGCCCTCTGCTCCGGGATGGGCTTTCTCACCACCTGAGCATTGCTGCGGGGT